GGAGCAGATGAACGCCACGTTAACTTTCCCTGTTGAGCTCGTTGTTCCCCAATATGCGACCGCTGCGAATGCTTGCTCGCTAGCATCGACGAACACGTGGAGTTGCATCGTTTCTGGCCTTCCGCCTTGGAAATTCCAGATCGGCCACTGTCGAAAGTTTTTGGCGCCATAAACGCCAAACAGTAGTGCGGTCATCGGAGAGTGGATCGTCCCAGCTCAACTTCCTCTTCCATATCTCGGGTATTAGCAATTTAGCGGTTGTCGTTATGTGGCTGATGAACCCGAGAAGGTCAAAGATCAACATCAAAATGCTGACCATCTCGCGTTTAGTGGGGCGCCTTTCTCCCACGATAATTGCTTCGTTCATGTTGTGAAACTTCAACTTAAATTTGCAGCTGTAAGTCGAAGGCTGCCAAAATATATCTAAATCCTTCTCTGTAGTTAGCCCCTCCTCGCTCATGATGGGTTTTGCTGTCGCAGTACCACCCAGTGCTGCAAGTACCTTGTCCGAGTTGGGTGTAAAATTGCGTAAGTCAAACCCGGCCTTCTTATGGATCGCTGTTGAAGCTATCAACGAAATCATCAACGTAGTGCCGCTCGAGAATTGCCTGCACTGCTCGTGGCGCCTGGGTGTGATACTCCAAGGCATTCAACGTCTTAACGTACTGTGCAGCGTATGGTGAGCATGCCGCTCCAAACGTCATCACCTTCATAGCTAATACGTCAGGTTCCCTTGAGTTGTCTCCGTCGCGCCATAGAAATCGCAATGCACATCGATCTTCTTCTCGAATTCGTATCTGGTGAAACATCTCTCTTATGTCTCCGCACACACCTATTGCTCCTTCGCGAAAGTGGAATAAGGAAGAGATCGGTGCTGTTGGGGCCCTTTCAGTAGCTCTGAGCTTAATTACACGCCATATGATTCGGCAGCGGCGTCAAAAAGCAGCCCTAGCTTTCCTGGCTTGTTGGGGCTCGTGACGGCGAAGTGTGGCAAGTACCCATATATGTAATACTTCTATTATGGTAGTAAGCTAACATCTCAATGTGTAAGCATTCCGAAATCAAAGCGAGACAGTGTAGTACTGTTTTTGTCAATGTATTGTGTACTTGAGTTCCGTTTTTATACCCGAGCGCACTTGTGCACAAGGGTATTATAACTTTGTTCACATAACGGTTGTTTGTAACAGGCAAAACGAATCGAGATAGATATAGACAAATGTATACATAAATGATCAGAATGAAAAGAGAAATCGATTAAGCGGTGACTGTCTGTCCGTCCGTCCGTCCGTCCGTCTGTGCACACGATAACTCGAGTATAAATTGAGATATCTTAACGAAACTTCTTTTGGGCGTGGGACGGATGGTATTGAAAATGGGCGAAATCGGATAATAACCACGCCTACCTCCCATATAACGGAAATTTTAAGAAATGCGAAAACTGCGATATTTTAGTAACTACTGAAGATAATTCACTCAAAATTGATACTTACAATGAGTTTCAGACGGAAAACATGAATATTATAAATTTTTGGAAAATGGGCTTAGCCACGCCCACTTATGGTTACATGTGTATATCTTGGTAACCGCTGCACCAATTTCTTCCAAACTTGGCAGAGTTGTTGACCTTAGTACAGCATACTAAATGGCTGAAAATTTTAAAAATCGGACAATAACCACGCCTACCTCCCATATAACGGTAATTTTCAGAAAATCGAAAACTGCGATATTTTAGTAACTACTGAAGATAATTCACTCAAAATTGATATTTGCAATGAGTTTTAGACGAAAAATAAGAATATTACAAAATTTTGGCAAATGGGCGTAGCCACGCCCACTTATGGTTACATGTGTATATCTTGGTAACCGCTACACCAATTTCTTCCAAACTTGGCACAGTTGTTGGTCCTGGTACAGCATACCAACTGGCCGAAAATTTCTAAAATCGGTAAATCAGTAAATATTGAAGCTAATTTATTCAAAATTGATGATTGCAACAATTCTTTACCAAGAAATACGTTTATGACAAAATTTTGGAAAATGGGCGTAGCACCGCCCACTTGTAATCACATATATGTATCTCGCTAACCGTTCTAGCAATTTGTACCAAGCTCGGTATGGTTATTGTGCTTGCCACATAAAAGCAAACCGTTGAAAATTGTTGAAATCGGACTAGGCCGCTTTTCATATAACGGTAAATTTCAGATATGCTTGAAATTTCAATATTTCGAAATTTAAGGACGCCAATTTACTTAAAATGTATACACCCCGGCTTATCATGTAGCGGTAGCTTTCGGAAAGGTGGAAAACATATATTTAATACTTGCGCCGGGTATTTAATGTTCGGCTCCGCCCGAACTTAGACTTTCTTACTTGTTGTAAATGTGTCGTGTACATGTTTATTTATAAACGTATGGGTTCCTTTTCTTTCGTACGTGTTCATTGATATATCTGTACTGTAGTGTTTTCGGACGGTACTAGCTCTTACTGCCAATATAGGAGTATTACATATATGCAAGTACCACGTCTTTGGACAATGCAGTGTGGCCTCATCGGGTGAAATTTTGCGAGCGTGGTCTTTGTCGATATACGAGTTGATTATTTCTCTATAGGCTGACGCAAACACTAGATCTCTCTGCATACGCTTTTCGATGTGTACCAACCGTTTGAATGCTCTTGAGTAGCTTTCGGGCATATTGATGCAGTCGCGTTTTTAAAGTAGGCCCACTTTGTATCGCCCGTCTACGCGACGCGTTGTTGAAATTAGTAGCGATCGTGCGCGTGCGTCTTCAGCTCTCTCAATTGGTGGATACGGCTTTACTCCAAAGTTCTCCGTTTCAAAATATTCGCATACCATATTTTCCAGTGATTGGTCAACGGTATGCCCTACGAATGAACCTGCTGTAGGCCGTGGTGCTGATCTTATCGTTGGCTCGAACACGGTCCAACCCAACTCTGTGTTTGCGGCACATGGTTCGTTAGCTTGGATCCTCATAGTCTCAGTCGGGATACCCAGATGGCAGTGGTCAAGCCCTATGAGGAGTCTAGGCGAAGCTCCACTATATGGCAACAACGGCAGATGTTTCATATGTTTGATATGACCGCGTATATCGGTTTCGCTGAGGCTCTGCGATGGCAAACTCAGGTTACAGACACTGAAGACGTTACTCAGTTTGTGCTTCTTCTTCATTCCCGTTCCGCTTACTAACACGCTCACAACCTTTGAGGGCTCTTGCGCCTTGTGACCACCAAACCACTGCACATTCAGTTTTTGATGTTCACCCTGTAAGCCAAGCTCCACAGCTAGTGACTCGTCAATCATAGTCACAGACGATCCTTCATCAAACAAGGCATAGGTGTCGATACTTTTTCTTCCATTATGTAATGCGACCGGCAAGATTCGGAACAGCAGCTTGCTTGACTTAGTATGGCCAACGCAGAACCGCAGCTTCGTTGGTGTTACGTTATGGCCCTTGCCTTACTGAAGATTTTTCTGTAGAGGAGCGCGTAGGCGTCGACTCGTGGAACAGTTGGTGGTGCGTTCTCTTGCATCCATGGGACGGACAAGGTCTACGAAGCCGACGAGTGGCCTTTACTCAGACATCCGAAGCATAATCGTAACCGTTTGACCTCTTTCCACCTCTCCGCAACACTCGCGTCGAGAAAACGTTTGCATTCTGGAAGCTTGTGATCACCATGGCACACACAGCACGTTAGTGTATTCGATCGCTATTCATCTATCGCTGCTCCTGTACCCTGCAAATCAGGTTGGCAGTGTCACTCAGCCAGTCGCTGAAATGCATCACAGTTGGATATGGCTGCACCACCGAAGAATATCGTGCCCACTCGATCTTCCTTGACATTGGCAGCTTGCTGGTAAATTCTGAAATCAAGAATGGATTAGCTAAATATTGGTGACCCCCAGCGGATTGCAAAAATGCTGACAAGTTTCTGACTTTTGACGCGAACGGTATTAACTTCAAAACTCCGCTCTCTGTTACAGGCGCTATATCTTTCAGGAGAGCAAGCTGGCTTTGCGTTAATGTTAGATAATAGCACTGACATGATTCGGATATATTAGTAGGGACTTCACAGTTTCCCTAGCCTCGCCTTTCAAACACTTCTGAAGCGCTGGTTGTTTTCAAGGTCAGTGTATCCATATGCAGACTTTGGCTGAGTGAACGCGGTTATGAATTGTGGCCTGTCTTCGGCTAGACCACTGAACTCCGGCAAATCTTGGAGTTTTCGAGGTTGCATCACCCCAAAGGGCATACCTGGGGTAGCTGAAACTGGAGCGACGGAATGGTCATTTACTGATAACGAAGGTCTAATAAACGCGTTGGCAAGGCCAGCATGCGTAGCACTGGCAATCGCTGGTGACGTGACTATTGGTGGGCGATGCGCTTCGGCAGCGAACGTAGTAGCAACGATTGCGGCGGCAGGCGCCGTGGCGAAGTTAGGTGCTATGGCAGCGGTGGTGTTTGGCGCTGCAGTAAATGGAGGAACGCATGTGCCGGAAGTGAGTGGCGTTACTGGAGTTTGGATGGCAAATGTTGGCGTTGCAGTAGGAGCGACAGCGCCGGTGAAATAAGGCGCCACAGGCAGAGCGGCGGCATACGCGGCAGCGTAGCTGGACGGAGCAGATTGAGCGGCGCAATTTGCAGCGGCGAGGTTAAGCGCGGTAGGCAGATCAGCGCTATTTGAGAATGTGTGCTGGCTCACAGCAGGTTGGGCGGCGCCAGTCGCGACACCAAAATCTGGCGCGGCAGGCAGAGCGGCACTATCCGCGGCAACGTAGCTGATTATGGCGCCGGCAGCGCCGTCAAAGTTAGGCGCGGCAGCCAGAGCGGCTATACTCGTGGCAGGGTAGTTGGTCATAGCACCTTGAGTGGCGCCGGTAACGGCGTCGAAGTTCGGCGCGGCAGGCAGAGCAGCGGTGCTTTGCACTGAGCGACCAACGGAGCATGTAACAAGGTCTCTGACCGTTTCGCACATAACGGGAAGCGACGAGGCGTGTTCATGAAGCGCTACTTTAAGTTGGCAATTTTGCGCCTCACTTTCTCTAACCTTACCTTGTACCTTTTTCAGCTCACATTCCAATGACGAAATTTGCTTCTGAAGAATAGAGATAATGCTATTTTGTGCCTCACGCTGATCTACGGGGTCAGCTTCCACCATGACAGGCTGAGGTGGTTCACTGCTTACAGCACTAGTTGATCTGGCTGAACTGGTACTCGGGATACTTTGCTGTGCCTGGCTCGTATGGTCGGTGGTTACATCTGCATCCATCGCTGTATCAACCACTGGTATCCCCGTGCTATCGCTTTTTCCCACAATCTGCTCCTAATGAAAACGAGGACTTTTCCTTCTAATTATGCAAGTTTCTTCAAAAAAGCTAATTTTATGAAAAAATTTAATTTTTTTTTTATTTAGTATTTTTGACGTAAAAATATAAAAAGAGATAAATTGTGTACATCAAATGTAAGATAAATTAATCATCATTGTTTTGACGCCATTATTTGTTTAATCGGTTACATAATTCATAAGATATTAATATTTCAAAATATCGAAAAATTTAACTTAACCTTTTATATTTGCTTAATTTTTTACTTGCGTTAAATAACTCTGGTAAGGTTACTATCGAGTTACATTTTTGGTCTGTCTATAGCATTGATGAGCACACCAATACATTCTGATTTTGTCATGGTATTCGTGTATCGCGCTGATTAATAGTTGCCATTTTTTTATATTGTACAAAACTGCGTCGTTTTTTGCGCGTGTTATTCTATGTTCAAATTGACGAGTTAAACATGTTAAGTGGGCTTGAACCAGTTAAATGAACAAAACATGTTCATAAACAAGTTAAATCGCATGCAATTGTTGTTGGAAAATTGAACCAGTTAAATCATTTAACTCGTTTGAAAACCAGTTCAGCGCAGAGTTGTATCAGAAAGCTTTCTGCTTCAGCCAATCAGAATGAGCCAAAAGCTTTCATTTGACACGCCAACAGGGTTAGAGTTTCACTACAATCGTAGTAGATTTACTACGGTTTCAGAGAAAGTTTTAAACTTACTACGCTACTCCGCTTTACCTACGATCTGCTACGTTTTTAATTCCAAAATAATAAAGTACGCCTTTTGCAGTATCTAAACTAAAAAAAGAAAAACATAAAATAAAATTGTTTTTCTTTTTAATACAAACATGAATTGATGAATTCAGGTAATTTTTAAGGTATAATATAATTAATATTAGACTAATTTGTATTTTTATGTACATACACATACTATATCTAAACAAAAATATGCCTCTTAAAGGTATTCTTTCTGGAAAATGGCATAAATTTCTTAATTTTTCCACGATAATAATAGTTGAAATGGTATTTTAAAGATAGTTTTATCCACTCTTTCGCTAATATATGCAACACTTGCTTGAAATATTAGATGATAACTCTGTCATTAAAAATCCATTTGGTTTCTTACTTTGGCTAAAGAGAGATTATAGAGTCTAAGGTTTATAGGGTAAAGTTCCAGGGAAACAATTGGAGGATAGCGTAACGCATTTTTCGGCGAATATAAAATAAGGATCGGCAGCCATTTTTGCATACTTACCTGAAAAAAATGTCTCTTTGGATTATGACGTTCTCCAGTAAACGAGCGACCAATAAAAATACTACTATGGAACATTATTTTATGCTACGACTTTCCGATTTAAGCTTGCCGATTGTGTTTTACAAAAAGCTTTTTTTTACTTAACAAGTTATATGGGGCCAATTTGAACGTAATATTAGAAAACGCTCTTAAAAATGTTTATTTAATTTTTCTTATGAACATGAAATGAACACAATAAAATATAATAAAAATTAATGAATAAATATACAATAATGAATTAAGAAATTAATTTTTATAAGTACATACATGCATGAAAAGTTTTTTAATTTAACTTCATTAAACTATTGTTTACAAAAATTATAGTTTATATAACTGTTGCGCTCTTGGCAACTTAATAGGGCTATGTTTAGTTTCGTTTAGCGAAATGAAAAACACAGTTCCTTTTCTTAGTAGATATATATATGTATACAAAATTTCTATTTATTTGCGAACGGACTGTATAATACTTGACATATAAATATTTAAGTAGAGAACGAGAGGAAAAATAATTTAAAATCAGAGCGATGTGCGTTAGGTTATCACGGCGGTTCGATTGCTAGTGCCGAATGTCAAATTCAGAAGTTACTTTCTGCGTTATCTACCGGCCAGTGTTGCCTCTTCTTGGAAATTTCACCCAAGGGCGATGCCAGCCCGATGAGAAGTGCTCATGTCTTCAACATGGCGCCCGGCCTGCAGCGCTGATACCTATACCTATTCTCAATTATCTTCAATGGCTGCACGCGTCTTGACGGCGGCGAGACGGCTGCGTGGTATATGAGTGTACCTTCTTTCCTTTAGCTTATCCAGAACCCTGTGAAGGAGAATTAAGAGAAGCATCAGGCGGGTCATATTTATGTTTGTGTGAGTTTGAGGTTTGAGTTAATGCAACGAGATATGAAACAAGAGTGATAAAATTTAGTGTATTAAATAAATGTATGGATTAATCATCTTCGCGTGTGATGACATCCGCCACTCTTAGAGTTCGGCCAGGAATAAATGGCCTACAGAGAAAATAGTATACGCCTTGTCTTGAGACGGTTACACTTCCGGTGTGGTATATATGTTTGCCAATGCACTTTGAGTAACTCATGCGTTAATAATGCTCGAGGTAACAGCTGATGAGATGAGTTATGAGAGAAATGCCTATAAGTCGGCGGAGTACCATAATGAAAATGTTGTATTTTGTCTGTTTGATTACTAGGCATTGCGCATTGGGCCTTATTCATTTTGGTTCTTAGCCTGTTATGTTGGTGATTGCGGGTTGGATACCGTTTTGATAAGTTGAGCAACACATCTTCGAGGCATAGTGGGTTGGGCCTGGTTCTTATGTAACCAGTTGAGGAGACGATCGTTTTCTTGGTGGCGATGTCTGCATGTGCACTAGGGCGGGTCGAAAATTTAATTTTTCTCAAATCCCTTGGTAATAGTGAAAATATATTGTATCATGAAGTCAACATCAAGCCTGCGAAATATTAGTCTTTCATTTTAATAGTAAGAGCCCGCGCATCGACCGCCAAGTGACCCACAGCACACTAGTCGAATAAGACCAATTCTTGTTAAAAATTCTGGGTTTAGCCAAAAATTTTGGTCCATATTATTTGATAATGAATCCTTTAACGCAAAAGATAACGTCAAGTATCATTTCGCGCAGCCCTTTATCTTATCGTTAATCTCAAACTCATCTATTTTCAAGAAAATTTTAATTGTTCTCTTGATAATTGCACTGGCCTATAGTCAAAAGATGTAAAGAACAACATTAATATTGCTGGCGTGCATTTAGATCGCTAGTTCCAAATATTCTAATCATTTTTTAATATTAGCTATAGTTTGCGATTTTTTGCAAATTTAGGAACAATTTCGGTAGCTCTAATAGAATATCCATTATTTTCCATCATCGCGGAAAAATTTTGTTTATGCAAATTAGTATGGAAACACTGAACAGGCACAACTTCTAGACACACTAATTGGTTTACTTATGTTTATGCATACAATATAAAAATTGCAAATATAAGAAAATGATAAAAAAATTTGTTCAAGATTTTTTTTATTTTAAAATAATTTGTTTATAATCTGAACTATTTTAGTCATATTATTATCAAAAATCTGTAACATTAAGTCTCGCCTTCAATTTGTTAATTATTACGCAACGATCGAGTAAGATTTACCAAAGTTATATCGAAAAACTTAAGTGGATTTCCAGTTTTTTTCTAAAAAAATTTCTCTTCAAATTGTATAAATAACCTTTAAATAAAAGAACCGGATTACAGAAAACTGTGCCAGCGAGTGACTTTTTTCGTTCAAGCTGAATGCAGAGCAATATCGTCCAATTGGAGAGTCCTCAAAAGGATTTCCCAGGATATGTTAAAGACTATTGCATTTACTTACATACACTTTTTCACATAATGGAATTAACTAAAATATTTATGTGTATCTAAACACTTATTGCACGTCCCCTACTTTCATATAACGGCAAATTTAGAAACCGCGAAAAATGTGCTTCTGCGGCGACTAATGAAACCACTCCGCACCAGTTTTCAAGACTGCAAAAATGGACTTAAAATGGGCGTTTCTCACCCTAATTGTAATGTATGTAAATACTTATATGTTTGAAACTACTATTAACTTGTCGAACGATTCCTAATCTTTGACAATACATTCATTCACCACGATCTTGAAAACTGACCAAATCGGCGTGACCAAGTCCATGGTCATTTTAATATTATATAAACATTAAAAGGTTTGAAATAAATCTCGTCTCACTTTTTTGTATTTTTCACTTCGTTGCTGAAGTAAAGAAGAATTGAAAATTCATAAGGGAAAACCATAGTTTTCTTATTTTTTATTTTAATATCTTAAAAACGTGTAGACTTATTGAAAAATGATAAATGAACGTGAGGTTCTAAATTTAATAGCCCTTAATTTGATGTATCGTCCTGTTTATAACAATAACGCATTCCATGGATATTACAAGCCAAAGTTTCATTTTCAAAATTCATACACTTTGATTCAATAGCGCGGGATAAAGATAAGTTTTAAATAAATCTTTTGTGGCCAATAACAATTGGCTGAGACCTAAGACATCATAATATTCCTATTACAATGCGGTAAAATGACTTTTATTTTCCCCCATACAAAATCGACCCAGCCTAATGTGCACGTCTTATTTTGTATTTGGATTTGTGGTTGACACATTAATTTCATTTTGGGTTTGCTGACTCTTTGGTGTATTAAGTCCAGTAGCGTGGTACTGAGATGGTTGGGTCCTGAAGTAACCAGTTGAGGCGGAGTTTGTTTGCTGGGTAATTTGCCTCTGCATCTGAATTCGCAGAGCTTGTATTTTACTTCACCCAGTAGAAGTGAGTAGTGTGATAGAACTGGCCCTTGGGTAACAGTTTGGGTTGGCTTCAAGGTTCGGTTTATAATATAGCATCGTGAAGGTTTGTGCTTGTTCTCGTGGGGATTGTGTGTGTACAGGATGATTAGTAGAATTATTCCTTTCCGTTGCGACAGTGGTGTTGGATCACGAACACGTTTTGAAGAAACCAAGGCTGCGATATGAGATTCCGTAAAAAGCATTTTTTCTGCTGAGTTCCTGGCCGTTGTCTTGGGTGAGGAATACCGATTAAGTTTACTATCCGGAAA